CATGGTCTTCTCACATATAAGAAAGCCGCCGAAAATCTAAACTGATTTGGTGATGAGGGCGGCAGGCTATCAGAGTATTGATAAGGCCGCCGGACGACGGTCTACTGTATTTGAAACATTAAATGCCGCCGGAAAAAACTCGCGTATCGGGGACAACACTAATCATTTGTAATTGGTGGGAGGTGTTTGTGTGAATGCGTCTTGTTTGTTTTCATTTACGCCGTGACTAGCTCAGTAGTATTCATAGCCCTCAGAAGGTCTAGATACCGCATCGTAAAAACATTTTGACCCCCCATATGATGGGCGCCATGATAAATAAATGTCAATAAATTTTAAGTTGGCACTTCTGACAAGACAGAATCGGCACAAGTTTAGTAATAAGCGTAAGATCGGCGTTCGACGTATATAATCGATTTTATTATCTGTTGTGTTGTTTATTTTGTTCTTCTAGTTTCTAGTAAAGGTTTTATTTAAAACATTATTTTTTAGTTTAGTCGTTTAGTGTTTTATTTTAATAAAAAACATTTGTGGTTTGGTGTTAAATTTTTACAGGATTTTCAAAATCTCTCGTTGTTTTGTACGTGAATGTAACAATGCATCCAACGGTAGAAAATACAAGGAAGGAATAACATTTCATGTGTAAGTTTTCAAAAATATTTGTATATTTTCAAAATCAAATAATTTGTGTTTTGTTGTAGCATACCAAAAAAATTTAGGAAAGAATAACATTTTGTGACTTTAGTATAAGCCCAGAAAATTTGGGGATACTAGCTGGAACGGCAAATGTGTTATTGGCTCATTGTTAGTGACCTATTGTACAATTTTTCCAACACACGTTCCATGATCCTTTGAACTTGGCTGCACCGTACTGATGAAGACCAATAGTCAGAAAAACATGTCGACCGTTACTTCTTTTTTACTTTTTTTTATTCGGAAAATGTCCACTATTACTACCTTGATACAATAATATTAGTTCCGTTCTAAGTAGGTACATATTATAGTTTGTATGTTTTATGCTTTATTTTATTACATGTATATTTTATTACATGTAATAAATGTTAGGAAATATACTTTTATAGTAAATAAATTGATTAAAGCAATATGTAAGAATAAGTTTATCTAAAAATTGTTAAAGCAATTTTTCATATCCATTGTTTATTAATTTGTTTCATTTAATTCTTTCTTATTGAGTAAGTTATTTCATATAAATATGCGATACTTGTAAAATGTAATATTTTCTTTTAAATAGGTATATATTATGTTTGTATAAAATATTGTTCAGTTAATAAAAACAGAAATATTTTGTCTTTTATTCAAAAGAAGATTGTAAATTTTTCAAAATATATTTACCTACCCCAAAAAAAGATTAATAAAACCAGTTAGTCATATACACATTTTCTATATATTTATAGAGGTACTTTTTAAATAACTTTCAATACATTCGAAATCTCTGGTTTTATTAAACTCAATGTAACAAATAATAATAGGTATTCTCAAAAATATTTAAAAATAAAATCGAGATGGGACTCATGTATAATTTAGTGACTATTCGCCTATGGTTAGTGCACTGCTGTATGTCCCTGGGTTTTCTACATTAGAACAATACTGCTTCTCCACTCTAGCAGTATTTTTTACATCTCACAAGATTATATTTATTAAAAAACCAAGGAATTGTTTCGGGCCTATTGCTGTGCCCTTTTCCAACATTCCCAAAGTTTTTTTTTTACTTTCTGCTGATTGGATCTCCGATAGCGACAACTCCATTTATTGTTCCACTAGTTTTTTATCAAATTTTTAAAATAACTTTTATATATTTATCTTTTGCAACGACTTTGCTTACCTGCTTCATAATCTCTTCCCTATGCCCCAATTTCTCTAACAGGTGAGATCTCATACTCGCTCTATTAAATCAAATTATCATTATAGTTTACTTGAAAATGGTTGGTAGCACAGTTTTTATGGCAAAGGTCCATATTTTTATATAATTTTGCTATTATTAATTTTCAAATAAACTATAGGAATAGGAGTAATCTATTAGTTTTTCTAAAAATACCTTGTTAAGTAAGTATATCTTTCCCTAGTTAAAAAATTCGAGTTTTTATTTTCATAATATAAATAAATGACCGGTTAACAATCACATTCTTTTAAATAGTACATTTGACATTGAAGTAGGTATTTTCTCCATATTGCCAAACAGGAACAGATAATTTACTTGTAATTTGAATTATATTACATAAATCTCACTGAATTTCTCTATAATTCTCATAGCAATATGTACACAAAACACTTATCCAATAATATATATAACCATGTAAAAATAACATTTCAAGAACGAGAAAATTTATAAAACCGGTCCTGTCTGAACAGATCTAGGAAAATCAAATAGGTTTGTCAAAGTTTTGTTCTTAATTTGAAATTAGAAATTGTGCGTCTCACTCACTTATAACTAATAACAAAGTGCAGATTATCGGTGTTCACGTATTACAGAACACACAAACTAAAAATCAGTGTAGCCAAAACATAAATTTACCTAACATGGCGACAAGCTTGAATGGGGTCATTTTTTTGTATTGACAGCATACGCCAAGCGGTATCTAGACTTTCTGAGGGCTATGGTAGTATTTTATAAACCTTATAAGTAAATTTCACATACATGAACAAATAATAATAATAATGCCGTGACAACAAGAAGACGAAGTAACGACTTCTCGTAGGGAGGCGGCTTCGCCGCCAACACAAAATTTCGATCCATACCTGGCTACGCCGACCGGCGTAAACACCAACGGCCTGGACACAGCTCATCTACTTTGTCAAAAGAAGACCGATGTACAAATAAAACGCATACGACATATGATCATCTGCCACAAAAATGTAGACTATTTTACAAGTATTTTTTCTTACCACCGGCATTCAATGTTTTAAATACAGTAGACCGTCGTCCGGCGGCATTTTTCAATACACTGATAGCATGCCGCCCTGATCAACAAATCAGTTTAGATTTGCGGCGGCTTTCCTGTATGAAGAAGAGCATTCCGCCGGAAGACGGTTTTCTTTTCAACAAATGCAAGCACCGCCGGCGGTCGGTTAGCCAGTATGTTAAAGAAAAGTAAAAAGTTAAACAAAAAAAAAAATTCAATTTCCTGTAGATCAGTAACGAAGCGATTTTAGTCATGAAATAAGCCAAAGAATTACCTTCTTCCGTATATATGATATTTAAAAACACCCTGCTCAGCAGCTCCGAAAAATAATATATTTTCTTTGATTTTTACTTTAACAATGTTATAGTCCCTTATCTGACTGCACAAAGTACCTTGTCGTGTTTTTTGCTTGATATTTGTAGTTGGGTACAGGGGAAATTGGGGGAAACAACATGTACTATGTTCCGGTGGTGGGAGCTGTCGTGTCGCCTATCAAATTCAAAGTAAAGTTGCTTATCGATGGATTCTTCGTAGACGTATGTAACAATAAAAAATCCCTTTGAAGCATTTTCTGTCGTCCGGTCTTGCTACTTCCGATGTAGGGATTTTGGCCACGTTGACCGGATATTTACGTTTTTCAACGACATTCGGGATATAGCTTCCAAATTTAAGATGAAATTATTCTCATATTATATTTTTTAATTACTTACGTTTTAAATGTAGACAGCCAAGCGTTTTCTCCAAAGGTGCGTGCTTACCAAAATTTCAATGCTGAAAAGATAAAATAAATTGATTTTGATTTCTTAGTGACCTCTTGGGAATATTAAAATTAACTCTACCTGAAAGTTCTGGGCTTAAGGTTATTCAATTTTAACAATAAACTAGACAAGATATAATAGGGATATATGTGTATCAAACAAAGATTGCTGATCAGTGAGGACCGCCTTACTACATACTTTAACAGAGGTGGGGAATCGTATTCAAAATATTATCGTTGGGATGTATTTCTAGCTCTTCTAAAATGAGATTATTTTACGACATTCCGTTGAATTTCAAAAATTATTTTTTACAATAACTGTAGCAAATAATTTCTTTTATGAAAATAAATAAGTACTGTTTTCTTCTTTAACTGTGTTAAAAAAAGTTAAAAACATTTTAAAGAATACAAATAATAAATAAACTATAGGTAATAAATTAAAGGTTCAAATAAACCTCATTGTTGTGCCAAATCTAGTATACAATGATAATCTCGTATTTCTGAGTTAATCTGGTTTAATGTTTGCAGTATTGGATAATTTTTTGCTTCAATCCATCGACATTTAATGCTCTTTCAAAAGCGTGTTGATACACGGTCTCTTTTAGAAAACCCCACAAATAAAATCAGGTGATAATCCTGGTGATCTTGGAGGTCACTTGATGGAATCACGTAAAGAAAATTAACAAGCACTTGCCGAACTGCCGGAACAATCAGTTCTTGAAGTACCAAAAATAACGCAATAATATACCCATAATAAGTTTACAAACAAATTCAACAAATCCCAGAAATTTTGTAACAAATTTATCCTGTATCTCCTCTGAGTTTAGAAAAAATCGATGACGAGAATAGCTGGCGCACCTTACATATAATGTAAAAAAGAACTCAAATTAAATTTGGAATCTGCACTGCTTTATAACATTACTGCTATTTATGTTATATTAATGTCTTAGTTGAAATGCCCCGATTACAATCTCATAAGGCTTCCTGAGGTTATTTTTAAACACGAATGTACTAATTGTCTAATTAACTACACTCCACTTCATACTGACTTTCGGGATACAAAATAAAACAGTGGCGTGTGCGTAAATTCTTCCTTTATTGAAATAATTTAAACAATCGTTTAGGTCATAGTTAAAAATTCCCGTTCCTCTGGTAAGGGGAAGATTGCTGATTAGGAATCGATTGATGCACCTCTTCAGATTTACATTTAGGTTTCACATTTCCATACTCTCATACGTGAATTTTAATACATTTTATAATTCTAAACTGATTGTTATTGTATTACGGATATATTATATAGTCTATTTTACATTTTTTTGTTTTAGTGACAATCTGCAAATCAGTTACGAATCCCGAACATTCCAATGTCACCACATTGCCTCTTCTAAATGTCACAGATACCTTCAATACTACAACTACGTCAAAACCAGTAATAACGTCAACCCGCCCACCTACTACAATTTGTCCTAACATAACAAAACCTCCTACCATTTGCCCAAATATAACAAAACCCATCTTGCCACTAAAAACAACCTTTTTTCCTAAATACAACAAAACCTCTCAGAAAAAAATCGACTTTCTTTTCCCCAATGCTACGGTAAAGAACAAAACAAAGGAAGAGAAAGACAAGGATGTTAAAGAAAAAGTCAAAGAAACTGTGATAAAAAATATCAGTCAAAGTGTTATTGATGACCAAGTGTTGGTCAATGCGACTGTTACTGCAATAAACAGAACCGACAATTTAACTTATGTGGAAGCTGACATTACCCTCAATCAGAGTTCCATACAGAATTCGGAAAGGTTTGGAGTCGAAGAGATAGAGAAAGATGTCAACATATCTGAAAGTAATTTAAGTGCTGCGGGAATCACTGGAATTACTTTAGGTACGTATATTTGTTTTTCGTAATGTTTCTGTAGATTAGTAGAATCATTAAAAATTAAACCAACGTCCAGCTCTTCAAATATCTCGAATCTCCTAAATTAATCCGTGATAAAGAATATGACTTACTAGCCTGCAAATATCTATCGCTAACATCTTTTATACAAATTTAAAACAATTCTGACACGGCCACACTAATAAAATTAAAACAATTACTTCATACAGTCTTAACACAAAAAGGGCTGAAAATGTTGAAATCTGATGCCCCACGTACTATTGGCCCCAAAATTATTTATATTGTAAAACAACAGCTTCTAACCTTATTCATAAGCATTAGCCAGAGCCAGACCAATAACCGTTCACATCCGTACTCAATTTCTATGAAGTATGAGAAGTGTTACATTAAAGCAATTTATTTATTTTTAGGCTGTGTTGTTATGGTTGGCGTTTTATCTGGGATAAGCTATTTCATCTACAGAAACAGAGGGTTCAACAGGCCTCAAGTACTTAACGATAGGTGCAGTAACCCCGATTCAAGCGGATACATCGACGATGCTTCAGTAAGAGTAAGCATGTGCTTTTTTTGTTTTGTTTCTTGCATGGTTACCATTTATTTTTGTATGTAACATAGAGTTTAGGCATAATAGAGTATGAACTGCTTTTTAATGTATGAGAGCTACAATGATCCATCTTTAAAACATCAAACATCTATGAAGTAATGATTGTATATTATGCATATTTAAATTTATTATGATTGTCTAGTTCTTTTTAGAATAACATTTGTTTGCGTAGCATGTTTCATGCAAATTTTTATATTTTTTACCAGTTGGATTGCTGATGTGTGCTTGTTATTTTTAGGGGAGAAAAATCATGTTCAAATATTGAAATCATTTTATAATTTTAATGTTTAATCTCTTAAAAACCAACTCTTATGTCGAAAAAAAAAAAAACAATGAAAATTAGTTTAAATGGATAATGTATAATTTTAGTTCTTGCTATTGGCTTCATCGCCGAGTTTATCTCTGTAAAAACGAGACAGCCACTTTATTTTCATGATAACTCTGGCAGTTTTCATACTAATGACTTCAATAGAAGCTGATTTTGAAAGCGTCTTCAAGAACTTTAAGAATCTGATGAGTTTCATTCTAAAAATTTGTCGTTTTCCGTTTTTTAACGTTGAAATGTTCCAATTCAGTTTTGGCGAAACAGTCACTACGAGCCATAACTCGGTTCGTATTACATCTACAGAAATAAAAAACATGATTCGTTTTTATTTGTTTCTTATGATGATTTTATTTATATAAAATGTAAAGTTCTTTAGGTATTCGTAAACATGCATATTTTAATGAAAAATATTGATTTATCGAAACTATTTCATAGAACATTTTTTCTCAATCTTAATTTTTCGAGTTTTTTTTAATTTCCACCCCACAGTGAAAGTGCATTATATAACTTTCTTCTATGAACCATTCCTTACTTACTGTCCAAATTTGACGTCGTCTGAAAGAATTTGGAGCCAAAAACCGTTAAACACTGGACTGACATTATTTCAAAAAATTTGTTTAACTATTTTTTTTTGTAAATATCAATTGCTTTTCTTTTAGGACAACTCTGAAGAAATGTATAGCTTAGACAACGATTCGTTTCTCAACAGTTTAGAAGCCATGACTATTCAGAATTACTGGACGGATACGGTAAAACATACCAAGCTCTAGCTTTTAGCGCTAGTATTTTATTTTAAAATTTACTGTATATACGTTAAAATTACGTTAAGTATTTTATAAACTGTGATTCATATCAGTAGCCTGGATAATAGGACCAGTAATAATTTTATGTATAATTTAGGCGTTTTATTCTATTAGTAGTTTCTACATGAATTTCATTTTTAAAATCGATTTTAAAATTGTTCTTGTCTTATTTTTTTTTTGCACAAGAACCGAAAACAAGGAAACTTTTTACATTCCCTTATTTTTTTAGTTCTTTTTTATAGTTGTTTTTTTTTATACGATTTTTAATAGATTTATTTCAGTATAGTTTGCAATAACGAACTATTATTGCATTTTTCAACAACTCTTTATTCCTTGAGTTTTATTGACTCTAAATATTTGATGATACAGGTTTCCAAAAAAATATTCTAGAATGTTTTGGAAGCGAGTAAGGTGCAAAATAATGCATTTTTGTTTACACTTTTAAATTATTCTATTAAACCGAAGTTTTGATGCGACTAAGCACTTCCCCAGTATTTCTTATATTTTTGAAATGCCTTGTGTGAAATGAAATTCATATTAGAAAAGTTAATCCTTGTATGTGCTTTAATTCTTAATTTCTACATATTTTTATAAAAATTGTAGATTGTGATCAAGTTTCCGTCTTTATTTTTCATGTTATATATTATTTATAAAAATAATAAGTACAAAACACTAAATTTATTTTAAATTGTAATGTAATGTAAATATTAATATCTACTATTTATTCTTCCATACGTGTTGGACAAAATTAGGATAGTTTATTGTAGCCTAGTTCATGTAGGCGTACAAAAAGTTTTCAAATTTGTGTGTCATAGACTCGTTATTTCCCTTTTTATTTAATTAGGTTGTGATATTCCGGCCTATTTCTATTAATTCAGTAATTTGTTATCAAAATATTTCTTTAACTATTTTTAACAGTCTATTTTAAGGTTGTAAATTTTAGTTCCAATAGATTCCTCCACTTTAAAAGCATATTTTAAATGCGGTTTTACAACATCAAACACAACTGGCATTGTTTTTGTCTGTATTTAATTTATTTATTTGATTGGGTGTTGTTTTTAAGTATTTTATAAGGTTGGTTTTAAATTTTAAATTTAATCTTTAGTGTTGGTATCATTGATTTATTAAAGAATATATGAAAAAACATCAATTTTGCCTCATATTCAGCCATGTTTAATACTAAATTCCTTAGGGGCCATGAAATAGAGTAGATTTACCTGTGAAAAATTAAAATAAAGCTAAAAATTGATATGTTGGTCCAGGATTGTTTTTAAAGAAAGAAAAAAAAATGATTTTTTTGAGAACGTTGCACAAACAGCTAATCTGAAATGAAAAATTCTTGTGCGACTGGAGGATATTTGTGACAAAATACTCTCCAATGTTTTGCAATACCACCGACAAAATAATTAAAAAATTAACCTAATTTATTTTTTCTAAAATATCAATTATATTTACTAAATTTGTTTGCAATACATTAAAAATTCTTCCAGAAATATATTTAAATTATTGTTGATTACAAAATAATCACATGTTTGGAGAAAAAATAAACGTATTTTTGGATACGAAAAGAATCGAGAAGAAGAAGAAGCAGTTAAACAATTTATGGGAATATAGTAGAGTTTAAAAATTATTCTATCGTGTCATTCCATTTGCACTTCATTGCTAAAATGTAATACCTATTTTATATCATTCCAAAAATTCCAAAAGAAAGTATTTTATTTTTAATTTTGAATTATCTGCCTTACACGCTTTTATATGGAGTTCCTTAATATAAAACGGCTCGCGCTGAAACATCAAAATTGCAATATCATTTACACCGTGAAAACTCAAGAATGAAAATTCTAATCAAAAAATACTTGCTATAAACGTTGTAGAGCAAATATCAAGAATTAAAATACTTATAATGAAAAATCTAATAAATAGCTTCGTCAAAAAACTGTAAAAAGTAAAAGCATGTCCTGACGACCGCTCTCTGACGCGAAGATGCGGGGATGGTTGAAATTTCCTTGGCACGCTGTTTTTTCGTTTAAAACAGCAGAAGGTACCTACATATATTGTTACTATAGCGAGGCGTAACGTTGTGATAATCAAAGATACATCATAAAAATATAGTGTTTTTTTAGTTTATGTATTTTGAGTATTTTTAAATATTTTTTTTAAAAGTTTTATTTAATAATTTAATAACAGTTATATATTTACAAAACAGAAATATAATCATTTTAAAAATCTCTTTATTAATAATTATTGCTGGTAACAATAATTTATGCATTTCTGGTAAAATTCGCGTTAAAATAGTCAGAAGATAGGACACTTTACCTAATATTTTTTTTATAATTAACATTTAACCTTTTTAATAAAGAATTTGTTAATAACGTGTAACTAGACATATTATAGGTGCTGGAGTCGGTGTTCCGTAGTAGAATCTTCTATTTCTGTGAATAAATAAATAAATAATTGGTAAATAAATAAATAAATAATTTATTAATATTCTTATAAGATTAGCTTACAGCATTTAGTCAGACTCGGAATTTTCTTCACTATCAGATAACATATTCTGGGAAGCTTTTATGTTTTTTTTTGGTCTTTATTTACTTTATTTGCACATGTAATTTGAACGATACAATTGCAGGACCCAATGCAACAAATTTGTTTTTTCTTGCAGGAACATTGTGGCCCGTTGCAATCTATAAAAAAATATTTAAATTAATAATATACTTGTAATAATAATAAATAATTTATTTTTTTTACAATTGCAAGTATTTAAAGCAGAAGTGTCCTCAGGTAGTATTGATTCTGTACTTAAAATTGGTACCAGTTTTCCATTAACAATTTTCCAGCCACACTCTGATACATCTGGTAAAGATGGTCTGGGTATCGTACTGTTCAGCCATATTTTAGTCTGGTAGTGTACACGAAGACAATGCTGTTTTAATGAGTCTAAAGTTGGATGTAATTTGCTGATCGGCTTTGAGAACGCTAAAAATCACTCTAAGATCGTTTATGCAATGAATATTTTCGTTATTTGTATAATATCGCATTACAAACTTAACCATTTTATTAAAATCGTCTTCTTCTAAATTGTCATTTATGCCAACATTACTAAGTAGATTGTGGTGTGATAAAAACACTTTCCAGCATGTTTTTTGTCCATTCCTACAAACTAACTGGTTGTATCACAACCTATTTATATTTAATATGTCTTCCCATTCTTCTGCTGCCAATGTTTTCTACAAAAATTCTTGACCTTTTTGGAAAGTTTTTTTCTTATCAACAGCAGCTACTTTAACGCCAGTGCGCTGTAGTGTTTGATGAATATTTTTTTTATTGGTTTATAAAAGTCAGGAGTACCAACTACTTCTAAAAATTTTCTTAAAGCTTGTTCGCCAATTTCATTCACATTTAATAAAGAAGTTTAGACAGTATCAGATGCAACTTCATTAGTTGAGATAACTAAAAGGCGATCATCGCTTTTGGAAAACACATTTTTTATATACCTATTCCTAGGCATTATTACTACTGTGCATTACAAATAGCATATGTAGGAACTTACCTGTATTTATTAATAAAATGCAAAGCAGCTTAAATATTATAATGTTCGAATAATTCTGTAAAACAGTTAACAGGGATACTTATTGTAACTAAAAGTTGAGAATCACAATAACGTAAAATAATAACACAATATGTTAAACCACAAAAACATCAACGCTTTACTCATTTGAATTATATGCTGTAATGGTAATGGAGCACACATGTACCTTCTAAGTAGGTACCTTCTACTGTTTTAAACGAAAAGCAACCATCTAGACTCGAAAACACATACAGGCGGCTTTACATGCAGATACAACCTCCTGCCAAGCGAATTTCATCCATCCCCGCAGCTCCGCATCACAGCGCGGTTGTCACGACATGCTTTTACATTTTACAGTTTTTTGACGAAACTATTTATTAGATTTTTATTTTCTTAGTATTTTAATCCTTGATCTTTGCTCTACAACGTTTATAGAAAGTGTTTTTTGATTGGAATTTTCATTCTTGTGTTTCACGGTGTAAATGATATTGCATTTTTGATGTTTCAGCGCGAGCCGTTTTATATTAAGGAACTCCATATAAAAGCGTGTTGGGCAGATACTTTAAAACTAAAAATAAAATACTTTCTCTTGGAATTTAAAAAAAAAACTTTTGCGGATGATTAATAATAAAAAAATATTGCTACTTTTGGAAAACCACCCTTACTTACGATTTTTTGACGACCAGGCGATTTTGCTTTCTTATGGTATATGATATAAAATATGTATTACATTTTAGCAATGAAGTGCAAACGAAAATCGTTTTTAGAAGGAATTTCTTAGCGTTTAATCTCTACTAATAGGAAATGTAGCAAAACCAACAAGCTTTGACATGAATATTCACGCAGGAAAGTCGGGAGAATTTCACTGATATTTAAAAAAAAATACTGAATTGCTAACAACTTTAATACAAATATAAGTATTTTAATATAAAATCAATGATAAATGGTTTTTGTATTAACACCAATCAAATAAATAATTAGAAAACACCGTAATATTCGTTTGATTTACTTAATACTCAATATTTTTCAATTACTTCTATAATATTAAAGAATTAGTTATACGAATCAGAAGCTTTAAATGCGAAATTAAATCAGCGTTAGTATATTTAAGAACTTTGAGTTGTATAAACTGATTTTTTTTACCTTCCTGCAACTGAATTTCTTGATTCAACACAACCAGTAGCAACTACTATCAGCCTTAGTTTTATATATAAATAGGTCCTAATCTTAAATGAAATTAATACTGTGTAGGAAAAAATATATACGCTTTTAATTTATATTATTTTTTCAAAATTTATTTATGGGCAGATTGTAAACTTGCTACTGATTTTGTTGGAATAATGAATTTTAAATTATATTTCTTATGTCACAGTGGGTATCAGAAACTAAATTTTTTAAT